GGGGAGGGGAGGGCAGGGGCAGCCCGACCCGGGGCCAGCCTTCTCCAGCGCGGCCTTGGCCCCAGCAGCAGCACCTGGGGCCGTGGCTCCCGAGCTGAAGCAGGAGGGAAACGGGGGTGGGAAAGAGGAAACCCTGCTCCCCCGCACTGGGGAAGTGCGCCGCTGCAGCTCCCTTCCCTCAGGCTGTGACCCTGCGGGCCCAAGCCCTGCCCAGGCTCCAGAAACAGCTCAGGGCTGGGGAGCCGCTGCCTCTTTCCTCCCTCCAGCCCAAGGCTGCCCCCGGCACAGGGACCGGCCCCCGCCCCACCAGCACTTCTGCTCCGGCCTCATTGCCAGGGGAGCGGGTGAGCAGCAGGCTGCTGCTCGGAGGGGGAGCCAGCAGCAGCCTGGTGTGAGGTAGGAAGGGGGACAGCGTCCCGGCCCATGCTCTGTGCTACAGGGGAGGGATGTAGCCGCAGCACCGCGGTGCCCAGCTGACCCAGTCTGGGGCCTGGCTCCGGGCAGCCCAGGCCGTAGCTGTGGGCTGGAAGACTCGAGTGTGCCCGTGAGAATTGAGGCTCTCCCGGGGCACGCTCAGTGCCACCCCTCACTCTATACACCAGGGCTCCCTGGGCCTGCTACCATCTTGTTCCTAGTCACTCCTGGCTGGCGGGGCTTGGGGCAGGCCCAGGACAAGCGGATGGCATTTTACAACTGTAAGGGAAGGCCTGGGAGAGACAAAGGAAAAGGGCAAACGTTTTGGCTTTTTAGAAAGTCAAGGAAATTTATTTCCTGAGGTCATGAGACAGGAAGTTGATTCCTAGCCACAGTAAAGGAGGTCTCCTAATGAAGGCTGGAGTGCCTGTAAGACATGCTCAAGGGACCAGATCACATCACCACTGCGGTAGCTGTGAAGCTCAGCAGATTTGAGTCACTCAGGACGCTGTTCCAAACAAGAAGCAGTGTGACTCAGAGTGGAAAGCTTGGGGATCCATCCATGGATAGCAGGGCCCAGACCCAGTGACAACAGACAAGTAGAAGGGGCTGGAGCACTCCATACCCCATTAGGAGACCTCGCAGGGCAATTTACGTGTTGTCCAGCCGCTGGGTCAAAATTCAAACGAAGTATTTGTGGCAGGTTAGTGTCGGGTCAGCTGGCTGGAGATGTTTCTACTTCCAGGTCATTATCGTTTGGGGCCCCAGGGAAGAGTCTTGGGGGCCACTTGAGCCCCGAAGCTGGGGAAGTCTTCGGAACTGCTCATATCAGGGGCCTAGAGCAAAGGAGAGAGAAGGGACTGAGTTACACAGGCTGCCTGCAGATCCACACCGCTCAGACAGCTGTAGCATCACGTGCAAACACGACAGGGTGTGCTGAGCGGGGAGGGCAAGGGCTGCAGGGCCACAGCTGAGCCTCTAGGGGCTCAAGTCCGGAGGGGGGAAGAGAACAAGGGCTGCAGGGCCACAGCTGAGCCTCTAGGGGCTCAAGTCCGGACGGGTGCAGAGAACAAGGACGGCAGGGTCGGTCGGACCCACGAGCGATGGCAGCTAGGGCTCTAGCGCAGGGTCACAAGCCCAGTTCATCCGGTCGGGTGACATGCTCAGGAAGCAGGTTCTCCTTCCTGGGGAGACCTGGCCCAGGCCCGCTGCCCCCACAGCCGCAGAGAG